ACCGCTTGTTGGCGATCGAAATGCTGTCCGCGCTGGGCAGCATCGTAGACCGTGGCATCCGTTCGTTGACCATCGTGTTCGTCGGTGAAAACCCGCTATTCTACGCCGGTCTGGAGTTCTGCGACGCGCTCTACTACTTCCTCGCCGTCGACCACTCGCTGAGGTGCACCCTCGAGTCGCTAAACGTCAGTCGGATGCCGGTCATGTTCCAGGACTCGACGTTCCAACCGCTGGCCACCGTTCACTGGCGAACACTGCTGTTCTTGGACTTGCAAAACACGCAGTTCATCTGTCAGGTCACTCCTGCCTGTTTGTACACTGTGGTCGAAGCCTGCGTCGAACTACAGGACCTTCGTGTCTCTCACTTCAGCATGTCCGACGACGTGTTGATGCTATTCAACGACCCGCGACGCCGGCGACCGTTGATGCACCTGTCCCTGTTCTGCAGACGGCAAGAAAAGTATAGCGATCACGACCTGTCCGAACAGGCGTGGTCTGCGGTAGCGGCGCATAACAAGGACCTGGCCGTTACCCTCAAATTTGACTTCACTTGCACCCTCAGGAAAACTAGAGATATCTTAAAGCCTAACATCCCGATCTGGAACTTGTTTCTGGAAAACCACGTCACAGCGTACGAAATTTATTACACGGCGCAGTTCTACGCGAAAACGTTGCGAAAACTGGTCGTACAGTGCAGGTACAACGAAGATGTTCAGGACAGCCTGCTGGCTGTGGCCGAAGCGTGCCGGCAGTTGCAATCTCTGCACGTCATGTGTGTTCTGGATCAGGGAGCTATAGATAGAATTTTTGAGCTTCTTCCTCAGGTACGCTCCTCAGGTAATTACACTCTGAAGAGTGACCTAGAGCCTGCTCCCTGGAACACGGACGAAATCCTTGACTGTCTCATTTTGCCAAGCAAACGATAAAATATTGTTCGTTTGATTGCGCAATTCACATTGTACCATATTTTATTTACTTTAAACGAAATGCAGTCAGAAAAGTGAGGATATGTAATTTCACTATTGAAATCAAAGCTGTCTAGCTAATACTTATTGCATATTAATAACAGGTAAAACTGATAAAGTTTTTATGAAACGTAAAGCATGGAATCGGCGTAGTGTCTGGGCGAAACTGTAATAGCTTCCTTGATGAAGATGAGGAACGTAATAACTAATGTGGTACGTCTAAGTGTATTCGCATAATAAATCTTTCTGACACGGATTACTACAAGGATTATTGAACCATTACTGCGTAGAAAGAGTCATTTGTTTCTTTGGGTTAGATAAGTCGCCTTTTATCAAGTAGAAACGTACTTTTGAAATACTATATTATGCCACTGTATACGTAAGGTGTTGAACGTTGAATTTATCATGGCTTCATTATTCTCGTCAACATGTGATTCATCTTTCCATTCGAACATCGAAGGTACCATAGCAAAATATATTTTATTGAAATGGCTAAAAGTACAACTTTGCTGAAGTACAGATATGTTACAGTTGGTAAACTTTCATACTATTTACTCTACCAAACTGAGCAGGTATCTCTTGTCGCTAGTAGTAACTAAACATAAGTAGATTATAATGGCTCTCTGTTGGTGCTGGTGGCATTGTCAAAACAATTTATACTTCACAGCTTCATTATTTCTCATGCTGAACGATGGATCATTCAGAATAGCCAATTTCAAGAATCTGAAATTCCGCACAACCAGAATTATTTCGGTTTCCGCTGTTAGCTCAGTAACTGAATTGCTACGTGAAATTGAATTATGAATATGCTATCTGTATTTGCTGGTTGTATTTTTTATTGAATGGCATGCTTCATTTCCTAAACGATTAAATTTTTGGACGTGTTCTTCTTACAATTAATGGGGCGTTGCTGCGACCGTTGTCAAGATGTTTACACACGTCGGCTAGCTTAAGACTTAATGCCTAACTTATTAAACCTTTTCTTAAGAAGTTTCGTTTCGCACTGGCGACGGAGTGAATCGAATAGACAAATCTAAGCACGTTGAAATATCATCCTAAGTTCTGTGAGCGCAGGGCGGCACCATGTTGTCCAGTTGTTCACAGCCGGTCAGCTTCGATGACCTCTTATTCTTGCAGACCGCAGAAGCAGTGATGTCTGACAATGTCTCAACTTTCCTGATCCTGTGTCAGCGTCTGAGCTTCGTCAAAATAAAACCCGAGTCTGAAGCAGTCTAGACTCCTTCGAGGCACTTGCTCGAGGCAATTCCTCACTCTATTATACCGGTCAGTTGAAAAATGATTGGCTGTTTCGTTTTCCGTTCAGGCAGTCGCAACTGTGACTTTCCGGTCTGGGCAAACAGCGTCTGCACAGCAATGCTTTCTCGAATATCTTAACTTCTGCCTAGCCGTTTCTTTCAGTAGGCATATTTCAGCCGTTTTTACCCAAAATTGCAGTTTTTCAGTAATGGTCTGTAGCTGATGACCACAGAACTCTGGAGATGACAGCAGACTTAAATGAATCCAGCTTCCTTTTCAAACTCAGCTCTGCGTCAGTCACAACAATTGCGATAACTGATAGTTCGAGATATGGAGATACCCCCTCCCCCCCGTTGGTTATCCCTATTGCCTTCCTCTCATCTCCTATCACTAATAAACACAACAGAATTTTTTCACCCGTTTTTGACTCATTCGATGACAAACGTTATGAAAAAACTATCTGTCATGATTTAGATGCTGATCTCCAGCACACCTTGACTGACGGCATTTCTCCTATACTTTACAATACGTTGCTAATTTTCGTTACAATACTATCAATCAATACTAATACTTTAAAATCAATTTTATAGAAATATACAGAGTCAGTAATACAGCGCAAAGTGCCTTGCGTCCTTGTCACATGGTAGCATTCACGTGCTTGCCTCAAGACAATGGGAAGTAAATGACTCTGCCGGCATTCAGACAGGTCATTTAACGGTGGTAGTCTGATGTTGTTTTAACCTACCGAAGAAATCATGTGATAGAATTCATTACTGAAGGAGAACAGCCGTTAAAACTACAAATTGCATCGTGTTTTGCTGTGAGTCTGAGAAGAGAAACTATTTGCTGCATCCTCTGTGTTTTCTCTCGCAGATTCTAAGAACGCTTATCCAACCACTTATCATAATGTAATTTTTAAAAGATCGTCTACTCGAATCAAATCTATTGTTGTGATATATCTGTTTCTAGGCAGAAGCAGCTTAATCAATCAACACAGATGACCGGATTGTGGCCCAAAATATTACCGAATAGACTAGAAACAAAAATGAGGGATTCAACATATTTTATACTCCTTGCTTTCATACCCAACTTTATATAGCCCTTAGATCATGCAGTTTTCCTCAGGAGAGAATCGGTTGTTGGTTGCACCAAGTGTTTTTCACTCAAGTTCACTCAAGCAGTTTTATCGCTAGCATCGAAAATCTCATTTCTTCGCTTTGGTTGATCTGCAGGAAGTTTCATAGAAAATCAGGGTAACTCAGTCTGTGGAACATAGAAACCGCAGTCAAAAAGACTAACTTCTAATCCTGACCGAGCAACCGGCCAATATTCAGTAATTCTATATGAAAATAAAGCAGTACACTATTCGTTATGAATATTGCCTTCGAAAAATATGGCATTCCTGGCCGTTGAAATGGTGATGGAGAGCAGCGCATCAGCTCCATGAAGAAAGAGTGTTATAAATTGTGAAAGTGTACGGGAGACCGATATCCAAACTGTTGCGAATTTTCCTTCCATGTATTCTTACCATAGTTTGAATGGCAAGCATATCCTTTGAATGATGATATTAATAGAAAGTTTGTGCCCCTCACATACACACAGCATATGAACAAGAAAGGGAGAATATAGAGCAGTGCGTCTTGGAACGCTTCCCCTGCCTTAGGCGGAAGGAAGCATAATCATGCAGGTCGGGTTATATATTGAATAGACACATCAGT